GCCATAGAAAGGTAAGATGTTCAATCCATGGTCATGCTTTGCGGTAACCTTTAAAACCTAGAAAGATTTCATCCAAAATCCGGAAAGTGCCAAAAATTTGCATAATCCAGGAATTCCCGAACAACCGTTTCTAGCCGACGACTCGATTCAGGCTCAAATAATCACTGCTCGCTTGCCCAAAAAAATACAAAAACGGTCCAAAATCCTCAAATCAAATCCTTTTAAAGGGATGGGAAAGGCAGAATTAATGCCTGAGGTTTGACGCCCGCGATACGCAACGCAAGCGTCCGGATTTTTCATGAGTAATGGATTCCAGCAATAGAATTTTAGGGCGAGAAATAATCCCAAATAATCACTGCTATCTGGCCCAGGAAATCGACAAAGTAAAAAGTAAACCTACTGAGGCCTGTTTCCTTAAAAATCACTGCTAGCCAGCCGCGGAATGAGAAAAACTGTTCAGGGTTAAAATCCAACTACGAGAGGATCCAAACAACGCCTTTTTAAAAATGATTTTTGATAGAAAATTGCCTCAATAATCGGTGCTCGCTTTAGGATGGACTCGTGCTCAAATAATCACTGCTAGTTGGCCCTGTCAATCGATAACATAAAAATGGAATTTGACAATAGAAAATCGACCAGTAAAAAAATAATTAAATTATTTTTAAAAATCTTTATTTTTTTTTTTATATTTTTGTAATCAATGTAGATAAACAAAATCAAAATAAATTAATCTACGATTCATAAAATATTATAATCGAACGTAGGTACGGATCCAATCGATGGTGCTCCCATTGGGGAGTGGTACTCCCAGCCGGGTGTACAGAAGAGCAAGAGGATGGGGTGGAATGGCTGGATGGAAGGGTGGGGTGGACAGGGGACGAAGACCTTGAATGCAGCAGCACTGGGGGATTGAAGGACAATCCAAACGGGTATACCAGGCCAAAGGGCTATCATTCTCCCATCTCAACCTCCCCACCCCACCTCGTTCTCATCCCCCCACCTCCACCTCGTCCTCCTCCAGATCCCAGCTCTGACAAAAAAACCGTGACTCCCCTCGCAGGGGTCACTCTCACCTACTGCGGCTCCCACAGCGGCTTTCTGGGCCTGAATGGAGATCGGAAAATGATCCGGCTCAACGTGAGGCTTCAAAGGAACCGATTTACAAGCATAGGCTTAGGCTCCGGCTTAGGCTTGGCTTAGGCTTAGGCTCCGCTTAGGCAAAGGTTTCCGCTTAGGCTTAGTCTTGGCCTAGGCTTAGGCTCAGACTTGGGCCTGGCTTAGTCTTGGCTTAGGCTCAGGCTTGGGCTTGGCTTAGGCTTAAGCTCGGCTTAGGCAAAGGTTTCGGCTTAGGCTTAGGCCTGGGCTAAGGCTTAGGCTTAGGAGCAAAGCAAAGAAAAAGGCAAAAATGGCAGCTTAGGGGAGTTGAACCCGAGTTGAATTCCGGTCATAAACCCGACAGCAGAAAACCAGGCAGCCGAAAATCCCGAAAAAGCATCGACAACCGGAAATACCGACAACCCAAAATACCGACAATCGACAACTTTTTTGATCACAAAATCTTCGGGCGAAACTAACGAGATTCGATAAAAACGTGGATTCCCTTGCAATCGGGGGGCTAAATGAGGGTCGCGTGGTATCGGCATCCGGAATCGGAGCCCCGGTGTAGCCAGCGAGAGGTGTGCAGAGGAATGCAACGTAGCTGTATGGACCGGTGGCGGGATCGCTTCCCCCGCCGGGAGCACCCACAATTCTGCTATGACAAAGTGGCGCTCCCCGCGTCATTAGTGCGCGTTTGGCTCGGACTAAGGATGGGAAAGCTTGGGCGTAGGCTTCGGCTTAACTTGGGTTTAGGCCTGGGCTTAGGTTTCAGGCTTGAGCTTAGGTTTAGGTTTAGACTAAGGCGGAGCCTTAGGCTCCGGCTTAGCTTGGGCTTAGGTGAGGCTTGGGCTTAGGCTTATGCTTAGAATCATACGGATATTAAAAAGCATCTTTATTTCGTTTTTATAAGCTTTTTTCGGGAAATTTCTCCTACCGGAGCGGCTACGCTGTACCCAAAAAAGTCGGTCCGTTCCCACGACACAACTTGACAAATGACGGGCTACGGCACGGCGAAAATCGTGAAAAATCGGAATCGCGACGCCGTTCGGAAAAATGGGAGATGATATGGGCGAAAAACGTGAAGAAGAAGTGGAAATTTGGAAAGAATAATGCTAGGGGTCGACCGATTCAAAAATGGCACAAAAATCAGCACAAAAACGAAAATTTTAATTTTTAAAGGGGCCGCGACAGCAAGGATATAGCTCTGGCTTCCAAACTAAGTAATTCTATGGCCACAATTCCGAAGCCGACTTGCCCGCGGCAATTCCCGATCGATGGGCGCGGACAAACAAAAATGGTCGCGCGCGGAGGATGGGTGGGGGGAATAATACAGATAGATGGAGGTGGGTGGAGAATGGGCGGTGGAGGACGAGTTCCGCGGGGCCTGTTTGTGGCTGTGTATGTTTGTCTGTGCGCGCATTGGCAACACACGCACAACAAATATCGCGCCCTGGTAATTACCGTATTTCGCCGGACATTGACGTCATTTTGGGAGAAGGGGATTCAGCTTAAGCTTATGCTCAGGCCTAGGCTTCTGCTTAAACTAATGCTTGAGCTTAAGCTTGTGCTCAGGCTTCGGCTTCGGCTTAAACTTATTCTCGAGCTTAAGCTTGTGCACAGGCTTAGGCTTCGGCTTAGGCTTATGCTCGAGCTTAAGCTTGTGCTCAGGCCTAGGCTTAGGCTACGGCTTCGGCTTAGGTTTAAGCTTGGGCTTATGCAACGAATCTGGCTTAGGATTGGCTTAAGCTTATGCCTAGGCTTAGGTTCGGAACTAAGTAAGCTTAGGATTGGGATAAAATTAGCCTATTTTTACGCTAAAGCAGCTGAGCCACAGCATTGTCCTTTGTCCTTTCATTACTTTTCACAACAAACCCCCTCGAAAAGGGGCGTAGTACACGCGTGAGTGCCCCGGACAGGTGTCCCGCCGCGATTTTCGGGGCAATCTGGCCCCATAACGGGCCCCCAGCCAGCCCTTCAGTGCCGCTAAATTGCGCTCGGCTGCCCCCAGGGGGTGTGGAGGGGGTTTTTGAAAAAGTGAGGGCCGAAAAAGGGGAGGGAATTGGCAAAAAAACGCTGAAAAACTTCAAGAAAATCAGTTATGTTCAAAGTTCGAAGATTTCGCTTGGTTTGCTTAGGCTTGGCTTAGGCTTGCGCTTAGGCTTGCGCTTAGACTTAGGCCTAGGTTTCAGGCTTCAGACTTCAGCTTGGGCTTAAGTTTAGGCTTAGATTTCAAGACCGACCAGCTGTCTTCAGCTTCAGCTATCCAGCGACAATAAAACACCCCTTACCTTCTCATCCTTTCCGACCCACTCCGGCCGCCGTTCCACATAATACACACCACCATCCCACGGGTCGCGCAACGCCACAATGTCCGCGTCAGAATACGAGCGCCGACGCGCCGCGCTGGGCGCGAAATGGACGTGCCGATGCCGTTCGTCCATCCATCAGCTGTGGGCCCCAGGTCAACGGTGAAGTATGCAGAGTGGGGGGATGTGGACGTATGCGGCCAATGGCAGGGGCCATGGAAACGTGGGACACCCCCGAATTTTGGGCACCAGCAAAGGGCCCACAAAGGCCAGCTTTAGGGCCCACCGCGTTGACGACGGTTGTTAGCAAACGAGGTCGGGGATAGGCTTGGGCTTAGGCTTAGGCTTGAGCTTAGGCTTAGGCTTAGGCTCAGGTTTGGGCTTAGGCTTCGGCCATCGACTTGGAGTTTCAGTCTTTTTAGTTAAGGTAAGGCTTCTCAGAGTGAAATTCTGAATTTTCCCTCCAAAATCACACGTTTCTGCATGAAATGCAACAACCGACTGCACCAAGCTCCAATTGACACCCTACGACTGATTTGCAGAGAATCGATAATCCGGCTTTCCCTGGCCTCGGTGAATTCGCGCAAATCGAGCGCCGTCAGGGAGGCGTCCCGCTGTGGTACGAGTGCCCTTTCACATACACAATTCTCAGCCACAGCTCCAATGCGTAGGCTCCGAAATGATACACTTGACGGTTTAGGGAGCTGACGGTTAATTGGTGGGGAGAAAATTCAAGGCATAAATATAGAAGGTAAGGGGACAGAGAGATAACGAGAGAGAGAGAGGGAGAGAGAGTGAGAGAGAGAGAGCAAGCCTGTAAATTCTATAATCTTCCATTAACAGTATATAAAAGCAGAATAATCGCTTCAGGATGAGAACCAGCCGACTGGCTGCTAACCCCTCGTCACCCTCCGAGTGGCCCCGATTATTTCGGGGGTGCGCGGCGCATAACAAAGGAGCACCCCTCAGGGCAGGTCATCAAATTGAGGGAATTTTCGGAGGTGAGGTGGTGGACAAAGCGAGAGAGAAGGAAAGAAAGGGAGAGAGAGGGAGAGAGAGTGAGACAAGCGGTTATGGTAACGGGGCACGCTTGCATACCCTGGAGGTGTCCTTGACGCCATGACCATCCAGAGTCAAACATGGTATCGCTCTCTCGCTCTCTCTCGCTCTCTCTCTCTCTCTCTGTCTCTCTCTCGCTCTCCCTCACGCTTTCAGCAACCGTTTGAATCCGCCCCGCGGGCCTCAAGGACACCCTGAAGTCCCCGGAAAAAACGGCGCTGAGCACAAGGCCATTTTTAGCCTCTCAACGCCCCGAAACGGCCTACAATTAAATTGTTGGCCAGATTCCGAAAGCGTCTTGGCTAGCCTGCCTTCGCTGAGAATGACAGGTCTCTCGATTTCCACAAGACCTTTTCTCGGTATTGATTGCTCATATATAATGCTCTTTTGAACCCCAAAAATATTTATAATGTTAGCTGGAAAATAAAAGGAAAAAAATGGCTTTCCGAAATCCCCGTAAAATTATGAAAAATCACAATAAATGCACCACTATAGTCGATCATATTGAGAATAAAAAAATATTTAATTCTCGTATTAATCCATCTTTTTCGCCTCCTTCTCACGCGGCTTTAGATAGGTCTAAAATACAGGATTTGCAAAATATCGATAAATGCGTACCCGGCAGAAAAACTGCACGAACAGCACGGCAAACGTTGCGTAGAGGAAAAAGGCGAGATAAAGGTTGGCGGTGGACTGCTGGCATTTCCACGCCCTCGCCCTCATCGCCCACCAGACAAAGATACTGACGGCAACCCCGGCTAGCATTTGAATCGTCTGCACGGTCGTCACCCCCATTGCCACCCAGCGGGGCACGTTCACCTGGAAAATTGGATCTGCAAATGGTTTCTGCTAGCTAGCCATAGCCAGAAATGTTCTTTGCTAGTTAGCCCTTGAAAAACTTCAAACAACTTGTCTAAGATTGGGGGAATCTGCAAATTTTCTCTACTAGCTGGCCCGAATGCGTAAAGGTTTTCTACTAGCTCCCGAATCCGCAAATCTTTCTGCTAGATGGCCCGTAGCATAAATGCTTTTTGAAAGTTAGCCGCATTCCGCAAAGCGTCTCTGCTAGCTGACCGGATCCACAAATGTTCTTTGCTAGTTGACCCGAATCCGCAAATCCTCACTGCTAGCTAACCTGATCCCGCAAATAATCCCTGCTAGTGTTCCCGCAGCCGCAAATATTCTCTGCTAGATGGCCCGAATCCGCAAATGCTTTCTGCTAGCTAGCCTGCTAGTTGGCCCAGTTTCGGCAAATGTTCTCTGCTAGCTGGTCCAATGAAACAGGCTACAAGCGACCTGTTTATCATCCCAATACAGGACCAGCTTATATTTTGTGCATATCTTTGAAAATAAACCATCTCCGCAATTTTCCCCGCTAGCCATCCCACCCTCACCTGTTTCGCCTTGACCGCAAAGTAGGTGTACATCAACGCATGCGCAAAAAGGTTCATCATCATAAACACACGCCCAGTGGCATTGTGCCCGGAACCTGTGAAAGTTATGCCATTTCCCAAATGATCTCTGCTAGTTGGCCAGTTGCGTTTCAAGCCGTCAGGCCAAACAACTAAAATCTAAATTTTGTAACCTACCGGAATGGATGGCGTACACGAGCACGGCAGCGTGGTGGTAGTAGTGCAGAAAGATGAGCGGCCTCTTCCGCAATACGATGAACAGCGTGTCGCCAAACTCGGCTACCTAATAGCTTTTGGAATCTTGGAGGTAAGCTTGCCAAAGTTGCTGTAATAATCTAGGCGCTAACTAAGCAAAAAATCATTATAAATCGGTTCAAAAATTCAATAGAATTTTGAGAATTCGGGTTGTTTCTATACAAAATACTTTTTTATACAGTTCAATACTCTTCAAGAGTTTCTCAGTTTTTTACCACAAAAACATATAGGGCTCGATAAAAAAGGTGGGACGGTTCGGTACTGGACTTTTAGCGGGGGGGGGGGGTATTAGCGGGGAAATAAATTTTTCCTATTATTCAATTACGGGCCAATAACGAAAAATAGACCATTTTTGGGCATTATACCCGGATTTTTAGTTTACCAAAAGCACAAAAAATTCGAAAATTTTCGACTTTCGACGATCTAAAAGTTAAAATTTGTTAAATTTGGACGATTTATAAAGTTTCAACGTCCTTACTAATCTTTTTCGCTTTTTCGCTAAGGGTAAAAATTATATAAAACGAAAAATCCACAAATCCAAACCCAGCGACCAACCTTGCTCATCCCAAACGTGACCGACCAGAACGCGGCCACATCGTGCGGGACGACGCTGCGACAAACGAGATCGTAGAATGATTGCGAAGCCGAGTGAGCAAAGTCCTTAAATAAATTCGATTATTATTTGTCCACTCTAATAGATTATCGAGTATTATTCAGCCTACCCCACCTCGCTCATCCTCAGAAAAGCCACGATGCTGTACAGCGCGTGAGAGCAATTCCAAAAGAACAACGCCCTGTCGAGCCGGTACGGGGCTCGTTTCTCCATCCCCCGTTGTGTTATCTGGATGATTCATAGAACCCAAAAAAAGCATACATACCCTTACGACGATATAGTAGACAACAGAAATTGTGATCGAGTGGTACCAGTGGTCTTGGAACCATAGTGTCAGCTCCACGTGCTGGGGAACCCCTTCGAATGGTAGGGCGTATCTAAAGCAAATTTTAATGTAAAATAAAGAAAAAGCATATATCTAGACGTATTATATCGACTTACTTGTAGAGATAGCCAGAGTTGAAGCTCTCGTTCTTCTCCCGATACATCGTAAAGTGGTTGAGCTCATTGACAAAGTCCATCGTTGCCTGAAAAACTACAACTTACCCAAAAAATATTTTAATTAAGTGTTAGATTTTAAAATAACGATTTTTCTGAGATCATTACAGGCAACGCTTCTGCGCTTCTGCGCCTAAAAGTAAAAACATGCCAAAACTTGATTAAAAAATGTCAATGGCCGATTTTTCACCAAAAATTCAATTTTTTTGGACATTTTTCTGAGTTTTCTAATAAGTTTTGAACCTGAAGGATAGCGGAAGTTTAATTTGGTTTCCCAAAAAAGCACCTCTTTTTACATTTATAGCAAAAAATCGTTTTCCCCTGAAAAAACTAAAGTATCATACGTATTATTAAGTCTGAATCCACTTTTTTAAGCCAAAAAAAGCAATATGAAAATATAGAATAGATCAGGCAAGCCGGGTGAGCACCAATTCGCCCAAAAGCCAACGGCCAACGATGCGAAACGGCTCGGGCCAACACTCCCGGCGCTACTCGCGCTGGTAATTGTTTTGTGAATGCTTCGACCGGATCCGCCCCTAGCAGATCCGCGGCTGTTGCCATTTTCGGCTCAATTCACTTTCAACTTTCACCAGCACACCCCGGCAACGGCTCAAGGGACCAAAACCACACACGCCCATTCAAATGCATATAATTTCGGCAATTTGAGGCGGAAGGCTCGGGCCTACACGGCACGTACGTACCACGACGGCAAGCAAAATTGGGTTCGAATCTTTTAGTTGGGTAATCGAACAGGCAAATATAAAAGATAAGTGAAATAAAATAGAATTTCGCGATAGAATCACTACCAGGCGTTTTCTTTTCTTTCTTACTACAGTTTGTGACAAAGGATGGTGGCTCGACTTTTCGTGTTTTCTCAGCGTTTGGCATGTGGCTCACTGGTCATTCGTTTTGTAGCCCGAAAAAGGAGAATTTTTGGTATACTGGACTGTCTTACAATGAAGCAGCAATTTTTATAAGCATTTAAGTTTTCGATGGCTATCTCATTCCCAGGGCCGTTCCTACACATCAATACAAACGACCCGTCAAAGCCCGGCACACCCCAAGAAATTCAACGAATAAAATCGCCTTCGTTTCGTACTTTTGAATTCAGTTTTCTTGGTTCTTGGTATCATTAGTCGCGTATCCCATTCTACAAAGTTGGAAATCGACTTTTTAAGTTCCCTTTAGTTTTGAGTTATAGGCTTCGAAATTTGGGCCCCATACATTTTCTTGACGATGGGCGTCGGTTCGGCCCTTTGCGCTATTTCTGGGCGCGTACAGAGTAAACACGGGGTGGTTCCGTCTTTCAATGAGCGCGCCGGTTTCGGACCGGAAACCAGGGAAAGGAGAAGCTTTACTTGAGGAGGGTCGATGAGTTGGATGCTCGAAGTTTTAGTAAAATTGAGAATTTATCAATTGGCAAAAGTTTATACAGGTTTTAAAATGATTTTTGCATTAAAATTCTCCGTGCAAAATTCGCACATAACTTATCATTTTGGCTCTTTTATTTTCGTTAATAAGCTAATTTCTAAGAGGGGTTATAATACGGCTATATAAAAGTTTCGGTCTCGCCGCAGACATGGAAGACGGCAGCCATAAAAGTGCCGCAGAAAACCAGCGTGTTTTGATGGGGGAGGGGGGCTGAAGCTGGTTGCTTTACCCCTACCATCGAGTCAAGGAGACCAGTCTCTTCTTCTGCCGAGGGTGAAACGGGTGGGGCAAAAGCGGGAATCTCTTGGTTTGGGCTGTAGGCCGTAGGAAGGCTGTTCTTGACCACGCATTGACCATGAAACGAGTTTCTCGGCCGAGTTGTTGGTGCAGTCGATTGGCTTAATCAGGGAAAAGCCGGGGGATAAGTAGGGCTGAAGGCAATTGGAGATCCGTTCACTTGTTGACCTGAAGCGACATTATAAATGCATGTGAGGGTTGGGGAACAAGATCCAAAGAGATATTTATTACTACCATAATCAACCAGAATCAGCTCATAGGCCACGATGACAACAGACAGCAAGGGTGAGATGTCTGGGGGGAATCACAAAAGGGGGTGTGGTGGAGGCACGTCGTGCGCAAATCACAATCAAACGAACAGATAGTACGTAGTCTCTTAAGCGAATTAAAATGGGGGCGAGGTGGCTTAGTGGTTCTGCTTCTTGCAGAGGTTCTCGGCCAGCTTGTCCAGGAACTCGAACGTGTTCAGGTAGTCGGTGCGCTTGACGAGGTCGGCACGGCCGTCCTTTGTGCAGATGGCCAGATCCTTGGTCATGTGTCCCTCCTCGATGGTCTCGACGCAGACCTAAAATGGTGGTTTGTCGAGGACCAAAGTTAAGCCCCCCCCCCCGATAATATTCTAGAACCGAGATAAAACCTACGGCTTCAAGGTTGGTGGCAAAGGTGGCCAGGGCGGCGTTGTTGTCGAGCTTGGCACGGTGGGCCAATCCACGGGTCCAGGCAAAGATTGAGGCGATGGGGTTGGTGCTCGTCTCCTGGCCCTTCTGGTGTTGACGGTAGTGGCGGGTGACGGTGCCGTGAGCGGCCTCGGCCTCGACGGTCTTGCCATCGGGGCAGATCAGCACCGAGGTCATCAGGCCCAGCGAGCCGTACCCTGAAGCGTAAGTAAGTTAAAGGGTTAAGAAGTGATAAATATGCCTTGGGCTACGGTTTTCGGACCGTGGCCCTTTTTTAGAATTTCTTAGCCCCTGTAAGGTGCGCATGGTGATACCTTGAGCCACAGAGTCGGATTGGACATCCCCGTCGTAGTTCTTGCAGGCCCACACGAAGCCTCCGTCGCTCTTCATGGCCTGGGCGACCATGTCGTCGATGAGACGGTGCTCGTACCAGATGCCGGCCGCCTTGTAGTCGGCCTCATATTTCTAAAATTTTAGTTTAGAGTAGCCGCAGGGTGTCAAAACCTTGTAGATCTCGGCAAAGATGTCCTTGAAACGCCCGTCGTACTTCTTCAGGATCGTGTTCTTGGTGCTAAATTCACACAAAGTTATTAGCAGCTTCTAGCGCGTATACCTGAGGTAGAGCGGGTATTTGCGCTGGAGGGCGTACTGGAACGAGGCATGAGCAAAGTCGGCGATCGACTCATCGGTGTTGTACATGGAGAGCGAAACACCAGGGCCCTGAAGAAGAAGAAGAGGGATGGAAAAGCCCTACTGACGCTACCTTGAACTGGAAGACCTCGTGGACAATCTCCTCGCCGCCGCCATTGGGGACGAAGCGCACCTCGAGCTTGCCGGCACCGGGAACGACAAAGTCGGTGGCTTTGTACTGAAAATAGACAATAGAAAATCCAAATATTTTTGGAAACCTGATCGGCGTGCGCGTGACGGCCAATGATGATGGGCTTGGACCAGGTGGTGACCAGGCGGGGGATGTTCTAGAATTGGGTCGTTAATTCAGCTGCTCTATTTGGTTATCACTGCAATTTTAACCCCCAAGGAACGAAGGAGAAAGCAAAAACCAAAAATCCTCACCTTGCAAATGATAGGCTCACGGAAGACGGTTCCGCCCAAGATGTTCCTGATCGTGCCGTTCGGCGAGCGCCACATCTTCTTCAGCTTGAATTCTAAAATGGCACGTGTTTTTCGAAAATCCTTGTCCAGTAAATTACCCTCGACGCGAGCCTCATCGGGGGTGATCGTGGCGCACTTGACGGCCACGTTGTACTTGAGCGTTGCGTTGGCAGCGTCGATCGTTACTAAATTGGGCATAAAAATTTTCAAATACGAGTAAAAACCCTGATCGTCGGTGGCATCGCGGTGCTCCATACCCAAGTCGAAGAAGTGGATGTTGAGGTCGACATATGGGAAGATCAGCTTCTCCTTGATCAGATCCCAGATGATCCTAAGTAAAAAAACGTTAGAAAATTTATATAGTTTGTAGGAAGTGGGCGCTCTCGTGGTATTTTTTTCTAGACAGCCCAACCTTTTCACCTAGCATATCCATCTCCCAATCACTGTCAAAAACGCCAGTCATCCCCAGGCCTTTCTTATCTCCCCGGAAAAATCAGAGAGCTCTATGCGGTGCGGGGGACGGGGGAAAGACATGACAAAAAGCGATTTGAAACATTCTCGAAGAAACGGGGCGTGAATGGAGTGGCGTGACAGCGCGACAAAAAGGCAGCGCCAAAGTATGCAATATTGACCTTTTAGAAAGTCCTTTCGTCAAACACGGTTAATTATACCTGGTCATCTCGTCTCCCTGCATCTCGACGACATCTCCACCAGAGATTTTCGGCATCGTTCTTCCTGAAAAAAAACAAAATATGAAAAAATTATTGGCTATTCCCGAGCGGACACTAGCAATGTGAAAATTCTTGAAAAAATACAGTTTCTTTTCGTAAACTGCGCCACAGTATCAAAATGCGAATCGACCGTCGGGATGGCGCGACTCGAAGGGAAATTGGCTATCGGCACGGGGAATCGGGGGGAAGAGTGGGGCTGGGGGAGGGACTCAGGGGAGGTGGAGGACGAGGCCGAGTGACCTGGAAAAAAGATCGCCAAAATGCAAACAAAAATCGCCGCCGACCGCCCAGGGAAAAGGCCACGGCGTTGGGGAAGTTGGATGGAGCGCGCTGTTGCTTAGTCTATGCTTTTCAGTGGCGAAAAACTTGTCTATTATTCTAGTCTGTGGAGTTTAGACCAAAATAAGCCAGTTCCAGGGTATAACAATGGGGCGAGCCCACCTCTGATAACAGCGAAAATGAAACGTCAACGGGACCAAATTTTTACCGGAACTTTACGCAAATGCGCCGAATGCTAATGGTATTATTTCCCAAAAATAATATGGAAGAGGGGAAAGGGGCGCTGTCCTTAGCATGTCTAGTTGTTGGCAATCGATCGCCGTAGCTTGCAAATAGAACAAGGGAAAGGCGTGCCGCATAAAGGCCTGCGACAAAACAAAACATTAGGCCCTAATTTTTGCTGGAGCAACTCAATGGAGCTACTCTCTACTTGGTAAATCCAGTTTTTGGCCAGCCACGCGCCCCAATGCCAGACTCTGCCCCGGCCCTTATCGTCGTTCAAGGTTTTTTTTGGTTCTTGTGGGGAAAGATAAACGACTGATGGGCCGACGGAGAAAGGGGAGGCGGTTGGAGCAAAGCAGCCTTTTTTCGTGGCAACAAAAGGGAATATTCTAAAATTGGGCATTCGCCATATCGCGCCTAGAGCACATTTTGACCTCACGGGGAGCAAATAATTGGTGGGAGGGTCAAAAGGAGGGCGTCGGTCCCCGTGCACCTATGCCGGGTCAAGGGTATAGATCTATAGATCACGGGAAACAGGGCTGCTAGCCGGCAACATTTTGCAAGCAGCATTTCTGAAAACGCCGGTAAGATTTTGCCAATTTCAAAGCCCTGTGGTCAAAAATAAAGAAATCTAATTAGCTAGCCATAAGCATCTTTAAATTATCACAAAGCACCTATTGTTGGAAAGAAAGGATCAAAACCCTACCGAAATGTGCGGCGCTGAGCGAGAAATGGGCCCGTGCATGCCAGTGAGAAGCCGTTGCGTGGTTGATTGCCTTGTATTGACGACACAAATTCCGGGCAACCACAAACATCACGTTATTAATCGACGAGCAGCCAACGTAAGTAGAAAGAGCAACCCGTGTTGAACCCGATTCTTCACGCTGAAAATTGGGAGGTGAATGGCATTTTTAATAAGTTTAAAACGAATTCAAAAGGTTGCAAATGTTCGTTTGTAGTTTGTAGCCAGGTGAGTGGCGTTCAACTCGAAGCATAAGAAAACTGTTTCTTAATTCTACGAAAAATCGGAAAACAGCTAAATGCTGATAATGTGGACAATGTTCTTATCAACTTCCTACGGAATCAATTGTGTCATCGATTTTGATGATAATATGACGCAAAGATAAGCGGTTATTTTGTAAAGTTCGTTGATAAATAAAAACTTTTATCATCGCAAGTGAATTGCCGAGCAAATGGTTTGCCGAAAATGATAATACCCGAAGAAATATGGACCATGGATGGATTGGGGGTGGCTTTTGCCCACTTGCAGAAATAGGGCACCCGAGGGGAGACTGCAAGAGAGGGTGAAAAGGAGGCTGATACACGGATAGGGCAAAGTGGCTAACGGGACAGAGAAGACAAAAGTAGGTACAACATTTCAAAGTACAAGAGGGGAATAGAAATATTCTGTCGGCCTTACAAGAAGGGTGAGGTTACGGTCGAATAGGGGAAAATGTTACCCGTAAAAATCTCAAAGACGATACTTGGTCAAAATGCTCAAAAATTTCAAGGGGAGATCTCTTCGTGGAAGGGGGTTAGGATCACAAAAAAATATGTTAGCTAAGTCACAAAGTTAGTCGCTTTGCATGGAACAGAAATTACACAAAAGATGAGAAGCCCTTTTCAAGGGCGGGCGCTTGGTGGGTGGGCCATGAAGAATCGCTGCCAGTCCCATGGCTTGAAGAGCCGCCAGCGCGAAGGCCGGAAATGGTCGAATGAGGCTGTTGTGGAGGGACGCCGATTCGTGGGGGCTGGTGAGAGGGCGTTCGCGGCTTCTCGTGCCCGGACCCGACGCCAGGTAGCGCTAAATCAAGATTTTCAGAATGTTGTTCTCATATCGATACCTGTAGGAATCGGAGTGGTTGTAGTGTCCAGCAATGTCATTGCCAGGGTCCACACCTCTCTCACTCTCGTTTTCCTCCTAAAAATGACTTTTTTCAAAAATCCCGAAAATCCAACCTCGTCAAATGAGTCGAACCCGTCCGAATTCTCATGTTCATTGTTACCGCGCGGTGACAGGAGATCAGCGCGAGCAGTCGGAGCTGTTACCCCGCGTGCGTATACGCTTCCACGAACGTCGCGCCCAGCCAACGCGGAAAGCCTAAAAATAATAATAAATAAATTAACAAATGGGTTTTAATACCTTTGATTAGCCGTCTCTGCGCCTCGTGGGATCACGTCGGTGGCTAGTTGGCCGTACATTCCGGAAACCCCATTATTCGCTCCCAGTACGCTGCCGTAAGCCGGGGGTTCGCGGTCGGAAATCCACGAGGTGGTGGTGCCCGGTCTCGTCAACAAATCGTTTCGGCTTCGGCTGATTCGATCGTTGTTCTGTTTCAAGTGGAAGGTTGTCAGATTGCCGTCAGCAAGTTGGAGGCTATCCAAGCTACCGTGCCGCTTTTCGCCTCTGAAATCGAGAATGGTTTATCAGCAGTTCCAATAGAACTTTTTGCCTATTCAAAAAAACCCACTTTTTCGAATTTCCCGTTATGCATAAGAAGGCGACGACCGAGATGATGATGAGCAGCGTGGCCATGCCAACGATCGCGATGAACCAAAGCTGGGTGAAGAACGGATCCTCGGGAAGCGTGGCCGGCACGAAAAGCTGGTCGCTCTCTACGCTCGCCTTGCCGACACCACGTCGATTGCGGGCAAATACACGGAAGACGTAGTACGAGTTCGAGTGCAGGTCTTTGTAGCTGATCTGGAAAATTGAGAATGTAAGGGATTTGTTATTGCAAAATACCTCAAAGCCCGTGGCGCTGCCCATGATCGTGCTCAACGTGACCCATTCACCCATGCGATGAGTGGGTGGTTCGTACGCAGAACGACGGACACGCTTTTCTTTGGTCGTCTTGACGGTCGTTGTCGGTTCAGCGTTGGCGACCCGTTTGGCCTGGATGAGGTGCCCAATGATGCCACGGGCCGTCGCAGCCCCGTCCGTCCATTGGAGGGCGACGGAAGTGTGCCCAGGAACGGCTCGCGGTCTCGTCGGGGCTTCCGGTCCATCCGACGTCGATCCGATTGTCACATTGCCGGCAGCTTCCGGCCCGGTGCCGGCGGTTGTTTCGGCGCGTACCGAGAAGTAGTAGGTGGCTCCCTCCTCGAGCCCGGTAGCCACGATGAAGGGCATTTGGGTGGGCTGTTTGATGTTCTTCAGGAATTCGTCTTGGAGTTTCGACGTGTAGTAGTTGACGATGTAGCGGATGATACGACCGTTCGGCTCTTCAGGTACGCTCCAAGATACGTTGACACTGTCGAGCAAGACGTCTTCAAACATAAGGTTTCCGACTGGGCCTGAAAAAAGTTGCTTTGTAATTTTTGAGAACTAGCGATTAAGTTTAAAATATGTCAAGAAAAGCGTACCTGGGATATCTTGAAGAGTGGTCTCACGGATCACCGCCATTCCACCCTCGCCGGCACGATTATACGGAGAGACAGATACCTAAATACACTGATGATCGTTGTGCTAAAACGCCTACCTGATATTGAGTAAACTTCATCAAATCGGTCAACAAGGCAGTGTTATTCTCGACGATCAGTAGCTGCTCCTCTTGGGGTTGTCGCGACAGCACGGAAATCAACGGGACATAGCGAATCTAAATCAACAATCAGGAGACGAATCAACAACCCAAAACCTTGAAGCCGGTGATGACATCCTCCTCATTTCTCCATTCATCCCACCTCAACCTCAGCTGGGTGCTCGATGAGGGTTCAGCGGAAAGGCCAGTCACATTGCCGCGTGGGATCGAATACCTAAAAAGGAAATTTATTTTTGCCAGGGCTAACTTACCCAACATAAACAAAGACTGGCGTTGAAGCTTCCGAGCCGCCGTCCGCGTTCAGGGATTTCATGCTGACTACGTAGTGATGGAAACTAAAAAAACTATATTCTATTTCACCAAGGTTTACAAACCTCTTCAATCCGCGGATCGTCGTTCGCTCTCGGGGCTCCTGCTCGTGCCTTGGTGCAATTTCGGTGCTCTGCCAGCTGTCGTTCGAAGGGTACGCCTTGTAGGAGATACGGTAGCCCAGCACGTCCGAGTTCCAAGCAGACCTGTGCGATAGAATAATAAAAAAAATTATAGTGAAACACGAACCTATCCGGTGGGGCCCATTGCAACAAAATTCCATCGCTTTCAAAGGGAGCCGTGGCCAGGTCGCCAGGCGGAGCTTCCGGTCGGGCACCGAGTGTCTTGATCCATTCGCTCTCGGAACTCCAGGCAGATTGCGCAAAGTCACCGCGGAAGCGGATTCGGACTCGATACGGGGTATTTGGCTTTAGTCTGAAATGGGCATAGACCACATTTTTTACAAATTATGGTCCCGAAAACCATTTTCCATCGTTATTTTTCGAAAAATACTTTTCGGAAATGTCTTTTTCGTAATAAGAAAATGCGACCACCTCTTGATCGTCACGCGGTTCTCCTTGGCAGGCGTCGAATCCGTGTAGGGAACCCAGTCGTTTTCGTTCGCTCGTTGGTATTCGATCTACAAGTTCCGTTGCGAAGAAGTCATAGCAAAGGTACCTGGACAAAGCGCACTGGCGCGTCCTCATCGGACGTGATAAGTTCTGGCCATGAGATGTGCACCTCCCTCGAGGCAAAAGGTTTCCGCTCATCGCGTGAGGGTACTGGAGGGTTGCGCAGGGGCACTAAAACATTGTAATACTCAAAAGGCCATGGAAATAAGCGTATTATCAACAACAAAGATGAAAAACTTGACTCACATTGAACAGCGGTGGTCTTCACCTCAACCGAAGCTTCCGGGCCAAAGCCCATCTCATTTTCGGCCTTCACCGTGAACAGATACCTATAAAGGGCTAATCAAAGATTGAGCAAAAGACTCACTTTGAGTTCGGGCTCAATCCGTTGGCCGAGAAGGCGTAGCTGTTCGAGTCCATTGGAATTGTGATTTCCGAGTCCTTGTTCTCGTCGGCCCGCACGTAGGTGATGATATATTTCTGCAAGCGTTTATCAGCAGGTCAAGGAAATTTACCAATATGCGTCCGTTGGGATTGGCTGGTGGCAACCAACGCAGCCTGGCCTCCTCCTCGCTGATGAACGAAAAGCCGACGCTGGTCGGTTCGGTGGGCACTAAAAACTTAGATCATTCCGAGTGATAGAAATAAGTAGCCGAGCGGTTCACAACGTTTGAAAAACACGCACAATCAATCCCTGTCTTGATGGTGGTAGGCGAGGCATTTTCCGGGCCGCTGCCGACGACGGTATAGGCGGCGACGAACACGTTATATGCGGTAAAAGCCCTAGAGAATGTTTTTGGAAGCTGCACTGATTCATACCTTAACCCAGCCAGTTTGGTGACGTTTGTGGCCTCGCCGATCACATCAACGCTCTTTTCATATTCATCGCGCAATTCGGGTTGTTCGGGAACAAGGCGGACCTATAACAATTTTGTAAAAAGGGCCGGTTTTCACTGAAATTACAGAAAGACAGTTGATTTTAACTTCACTGCGCTATAATTCAATACGGCCCTATTTTCCTAGCGATTACCTTGTAGCCGAGGATATCGCCATTCTTCAAATGGTTGTCGACTGGTTTCCACTGGACGGTTATCGAGTGGTGGCCATCCTTGCCGAGCGATGCCTAAAGTGGACCATCCAGAACCGGTTTGATTTGACTGACCGCTACGTCAGTTGGGGCGCCCGAGGGGAAGCTCTCGTAGGTTTTGGCGACGGTTGAACCGGTGGCCTGCGATTTTCCAACAATGTTCTCGGCGTACAAGTCGGCTTCGTAGGACGTGAAGGGGCGGAGGTCACGCAGTGTGAAGTCAGTGGCCCGTAGGGAGGATACCCGGATTTCGCGCTGAAATGGTAAGGATTGTGGAATCAAAAAGCTAGTGTCAATGAGTTTTAGAAGGGCCAAAAGCTACAAAAATTACAAAAAATGTACCCATTCTTTGGTGCCATTTTGCCGGTAGACAATCAAATAGCCGGTCGGCTGACCGTTCCACTGCCAGTGCTGTAAAGGCGTCCACGAGAGGATCATCGAAGTAGCCGAAATCGGCTCGAACCAGAGTCGTGACGATGGCGCTTCGGGGATGGTTTGTTTTGTCTGAAAATCAGAAAGTTTTGGGCGCACAAAAAAAAGGTTACCTCGAAGGCTTGCGATGGCTCCGATGGCGAACCGCGACCCACAACATTGTCGGCAATCAGACGAAGTTGATATCGAGTGTACGGGCGCAGGTCTGTCACGTTCAGGAGACGAGCCTTTGGAGCGCTGACGTTGTAGATTTGGTGGAAGATGTTGCTTTCGCCGACTCGCGCCTCGACTATCCACTGGCTGAAAAATAGATACATCCAGAAATGGCAGGTAAATTACCGGATGGTTGTATGGCCATCGAAACCGGGCACGAATTGGAGTTGTGCGGAACGCGGCGAGATTTGGACAATCGAGAGCGAGGTGGGACGACCAGGAAGTTCTAAAAGTACTTTTTAATTAGACATTCAAAAAGCCAACCTGGTGGAACCCCGCTCTCGAATCGTGTTTCCGCCCATGGACCAACGCCCTTGGAGGTCTTTGCCCGGATCTCGACAGCATATTGGGTAGATGGTGTCAGCCCTTCTAACATAACCGAGTGCTGATCACCGGGAAGTTCCAGCGGTAATCGATCTTCCTGCCGTTCAGATCGCCAATAACTAGGGAAAGCATTAGAAGGCAATATGTTTCACCTACTTGAGCTCATAGCCAATGATACGCCCGTTCGCTTCCTGCGGACTGTGCCATTGCAGGACGGCGCTGTTGGAAAGCACCTGTTCGTGATCGACGCCAAGCTCAGAGACAGGTCCAGGGGTATCTTCCTAAAATTTTCGATCAAAAATTCACAAGGTTTATCATACTTCCGTAACGACAAGTTGCGTCTCACTGCGCGGTCCATCGCCAGGGCCAGTAAAGCAGAGGATCGATAGGTTGTAATGTCCCCATTTTTCAAGTCCATCCACGACCAGGGATAGTTCCGGGCCCGTCGGGTCGATGATCACTTGCTTGCGAAGGCCACCGGCCGCTCCCGGGGCGCCGCGCCAAAATTGGATCTGGAAGATGGACGAGATAAGAACATGAATATCGTTATACCTTGTAGCCCAGGTTGACTCCAGGGATGCGCTGCTGGTCGGGAGCGGAAAAGGTGATCTCGAAAGCCGTTGAATTCTTCGCGACAGCCTTGACACGGCTAGGCGCTTGGCTCGGAACTAAACAAAGGTTAGGAAAAACTTGGAAGTCGGACCTCCTTCCAAAGTGGTCACGTCGACGCTTTTGCTGAAGACGCCAAGACCACGATTGTTGTAAGCCGCGACCTAAGCTTGGAATTGAGTCTGTCACGATATCTAAATTTACCTGAATTTCATAGGTTCTCCAAGTAATCAGGGGTTCGATCGGGACGCTGCGGAGGTTGATGTTAGTGACGTTTTTCTCGTTCCAGGGCAATGCGTATCCGGAGAGGCGATATCTAAACAGAAGACGTTGTACGAGAAAAAGGAGAAATTTTTTTCTTATGTCACTTTGCCCTAACGTTCTCTTACCGAATAATATATCCGAGGATGTCCCCGTTCCACTGTTCCGATGGCGGCGGCTGCCACTGCACCATAATTGACGAGGATGACCGAGCACTGGCCGCGACCCCAATGGGGGCCGATGCGGGAGGCTGCTGTGGCATCGTCACATTGTTCGTGGACACTGACGGCATCCCGGCACCATATCTGAATCGGGGAGCGTCCACCTAATTACTTTGTCCGACCTGTTGAAGGCAATGACCCGGAACTCGGCGGTCGCCGACGGTTTCAAGTTGTCGATCACCCATGAGCAGCAGTTCTGATTAAAAAAACATTAACTTTGTGTAAAAAATCATTGCAGCAGGAAAATCGCAACTGCGCTGCTTTGCATACCTCCGGCGGAACGCTCTCGACGACAGTCTCCCATACACCCCACTGGTCCGTCGGCCCAAGTGTCCGCGTCTCGATAGCGTGGCGAATAATCGGCGAATTTCCATCGAAACCCTGGCGCCACGTCACCTTGATTTTCGCGGGTACGGTCTCGTTGATAAGCTGTGCCGCGACGGCCACCGGCATTGAGGGTCGCTCTACAAAGAATGAAATCGTATCAAATAAGAAAAACACTACATACCAATGATGCGCAACCATGCTGATTGTGACTGCTCGCCGCGGGGTGTCCGAATCGTGCAAATATATTCGCCAATGTTATCCGGGGCTGCCTGGATGATGAGGAGACCGCCGTTTTTCTTTCGTTCGATGCGGAGAGCTTGATTGCCGGAAGGTCCAATTGATTCGCCCTAAAATAAAAGAAATCAGTGGCTTAATAATTAAAACGAATAACCATCAATCATACAAATTTTAGCTTTTATAAATAAAAAGAAACTCACGTTCAGTGACCACTTGACTTCAACATCAGCCCCCAGATCTTTTGAGGCCTCGCACGGGATCTCAATGTTGGTGCCGATCAGGATGCTCTGATTTGTAGGTCCATGTTCAATCAGCGACGTGCCTAAAAAGAGAAAGTTGGCCATCGCAAACTGTGCATACCAAGCACATTCAATTCAGCAGAAGTCGCGATCTTGCCGTGCAGATTTTCGGCGATGCAGGTATACCTTCCGGCGTCAGATGTCTATAAAGAAGGTTACAGACTAGGACTCTCCCTCTCACCTTGATGTTGCTTATTGACAGACCGCTGGTGCTAATCTCGTATTTTGCCGATTCGCCGAGAACAGGCTTATTTTGGAACATCCACTTGATCCGGGGTTTCGGCGTCCCATCAGCTTCACAGAAAAGTGACACCTAAATCTGGGGGTTAGCGGGAGAACAGTAAACGCGCACCTGTCCCTTGACCTGGGCTTCTTGGTTTTTCGGGCTGACACGGAACGTGGGTGGGATGGCGGAGCTGGTGTCGGATTCGAGGTTTTGAACTTCACGTTCCAGTGAAGCATCGGCGAAACCCCAGTTTACATCTAGGAAAAGGTACAAAAATTATGTGATTAGCAATACCTCCGGAGTGGGTACGCTTATCCTCCTGCCCCTCGTGCAACCACAACGTGGAAACGGTGGAGCCGGCGAGGTTTCGACCCTCGCATTGATAGACGCCAAAGTCGTCGGCGTTGATCTTGTTGAGGGTGAGGATGCCGTCACGAGCAGCCAGCTGGAATTAAAAGGGTGAAATTTTTTGATGAGTTTTTCCCTAAAAATTTTTTCGGAATCTTTTTTCGCTTGTTTTGTTTTCCTACGGGGTTTCGTTTATCTGTGTTATTGGAGTTTGCGATGTGAATTACAATTGATTCATTCGATAGAGCTCGAAATCGGGGAAATATTCGAATTTTTTTGAAATATCGCTGAACGACAGCAATATTCGAAAAAGCTTCTTCTGCTCATAATTTGAAGATCTTACGAATGAGATATATCACTTCGTAAAACGGCAGTATCGCCTAGATACGACTCCTTGTTAGGGATAGCTTGGTATCCCGGTATGTGAAATCCCTCGATCGTCCACACAACGAGCATCTCGGACGCCGTGGGGAGCCAAGGGTCAGCGCAGCCAGCAAGCGCTGACAATCGCACTCGCCTCAAGGGCCTTTCCGAGGCATATGCCGTGGTGCCTTCGTGAGTGGCCCCTTGACCATCCCCCGTACAATGACAATTCGTTTATGGCCAGCAGCAGCACCAACGGCTCCAAACGCCCAATTATCCACCCGTGTGAGCTTCGTTTGAAACAAGATCCGAGGAGCTACTCGGAATCACGGCTAATTGGGAATCCGGCTAATTAGGGCGGCCGAGTTTGCGTAAGGGTCTTGCTAATGAACTAAAAAAAACCCCTAAAGCATGTTCAGGAAGTTGTACGTATACACCTAAAAACGTCTGCTGACTTTTCTGCAGTCTCGCTACGTAAATAGGCTTAAACGTAGTAATTCCTGAACGTGCGCTTTACCTAGACTTTCCCTAGTGCCCATGCCCGTCTCAAAAAGCCTCCAGGTTCACCCAGCTTTTCCCATAAGCCATGCGATAGTCTGCACCATGGGCACAGCAGGAAGCTATTATGTGTTTCAGGTGCGGAAAATCGGCTTTTCCCTCGCCACCATTCTACTGCAGGCACTAGAAGGTGACTCTTTCGACGAGAGATTTCGCGCATCGCCCCGCACTCTCCCCTGAATTGCTCCGGGCGCGGCCGAGTGTCTCAATAACCACCTTCGTGCATCCAAGGTCGCCGTCATATTTTCAATGGAATTAGGAAGTGTGCGCGCAGTGGAGGTTATTAAACCCGGGTAGAACCTACACTTCAGAAAACACGGTGGAAAAGTTTTTAGAGTTTTTGATCATTTTAGGTTTTTCTTCTTCGTTTAGGCCTAGATTAAGCCAGGCTTAGGCTCGGCTTAGGAATCGCTAGCCTAAGATCAGGTTCAAAACCGAGTATCCTGCTAAAGCAACCGCGAAAAAACTGCCCAAGCCGACCAAAAATCACGCAAAAAGTTTTGCCACCCCTCGAACTTGAATAGTACGGAAAATCTTAACTTCGACATCCTAGCCAAAGCTTGTGTTGAACGCGCCAATTATCCGGCACCTTATACTCGACTATGCGCCCGAGATTGTCAACAGCAACCCCCAATCCTGTCGCGATTCACGGCAGAAACCGGCCGGCCGAGGCGTCGCTGGAGATGCGATGCGGATGCGGGCGAGCCTCGGAGTGGAGGAGGGATTAGTAAATGTCGCCTGGATGGAGCCTCAGTGAAAGTAGGGCGCCGACTGGGCCGACACGGCCGAGTGGATTGCAAGTAGAAGAAAAAGGGGGAGGAGGGAAAGTCAACCAACATGGTTATAAGAAACTTTGAAGCGCACACACCTTCTTGCCGTTATGCCACCAGCGCGTATCCCCGCCGCCGATGCCATCCTTCAGTGAGCAGCGGATGCTCACATCTTCGCCAAGGGCCTTGCCGAGCTGGCTGGGGAGCAGGTTGAGTCGAGGGGATGCTATAGAGGGGATAAAACAAAAGAATAATTACGTACTAATAATTCGAATCGTCGCCGTTTTCTCCTCCACCACTCGGCCAGCAGCCGCATCGCACCGACAGCGCACCGCAGCCTGTTGTTTGCCCTTAAAAAGACATTCCAATTAGCCGAACAAAACAATAAATTAACCTTTAGCAAAGCCGCCTTTCTGGAGATGATCAATCTTCGCATGTGCTGCTCAAACTTGATCCCCCGATGTTCCTCCGTGGCCTCTTCGCCGTCGATGTACCAATGGATGTTGAAGTCGGAACTGTAATTGGATGCATATAAAAAATAAAAAATTATTCAGCAAACCTATAGCTTGGCACACAGTCAAACTCGGCCATCTCGGGGCCCTCGTCATCGAGCAGTTCGAGGTCAGCTGGCCCGTAGATGATCGAGAAGGGGTTTTCCGTGCGAGCCGTGTTGTCGGTGGATACAAAAAAGACGCCGGAGGCTGCTTCGCCCAACGCATCGAGCCAGGCAGTAACCCTGATAAGGATAAGTTAATTGAGGTCGCGGAAGGTACCGATAGCTGCCGTCCATCGGAAGTCCATCGTCCAGCACGACCAGGTCGCCTCGGCTCGTGACGTAGCGGGATGTATTGGAGAATATCTGAAAAATTAGGATTACAATTTATCAATTTGCCAGGAGCTTCCGATTCTTTGATTTATATTTCTAAGAGTTTTTCAGGATTTTTGCTAGCACTTTTCCTCGCTTCTTCAAAATCCTACTCCCCCGGCTATAGCCTCGTGATGAAGAGCGGACAACCCCACAAGTTGTCACATCTCCATTGCCCCTCTCTGGCCCTCCAGCCGCCCACAAATTCTCGCGTGGTCATTACGAGGCGCAATCCATGTTGACATGCTTTTTGGCGGCCACACTCGGGTCCCCGGGGAATTGGCATCAGCCATGAAGATGCTCTTTCCTAGCCGCAGCTACTAGCCCTAAAGACTAGCCGGAAGCAAGTTTGGTACTGGACTGTTAGCGGGGGGGGGGGTCGAGTAGGAGGGAAACTGGCTTTTCCCAGTAATCCTGCACGGTCCTACAAAGAAAATATAAGCCATTTCTATCACATTTTACACGGCTTTCGGTACAAAAGCTCATCCAAAACTTATGATTTTTGACTTTTTCGTCAAAAACGTATGAAAACTGGAAAATTTTAGAGCGCTTTTTCCAACATTTTGGGTCGCCTGGGGGGGAGTCAAAACAAAAAGGGGCAGCAGAGCTGCGCCGGAATGACCAAAAAGGCCAACATTTTACGAGTTTTCAAAAAGTTTCAGGTATTTTTCGCCACTTTTTAGCAAACAAAAACTACTATAAACATGATCTAAATACCCTATTTATCATTCGCAATAGCTTATAGGTGTAAAAAAAAATGTTTCCCCCTTGCCAACCAGTACCGAAAGTTTGAACCAGTAATCATTGGGGCCATAACTTTATAACACATATTTTTAACGCGATGTCCTTTCGGGTTCCTGTAAATTACTGGATATCCAGTTCGAAATTGGGAATCTATCCCCCAATAGCCCCGTCCTCATATAAACTGGGAAGATATGTGAGAGTATTCCTCCTCAAGCCCATGCGCGGCTACAGCCCTATGGAATGGGGTCTAGCACCCGACCCCTGGGGACACCATATGCGCAAACGGCACAGTTTATTGAGAGCTGACATCTGGGAATCGGCGGTGTTCATCAAAACCCATAGATTTATTAGGCCCACATCAGGCTTTTCGGCGCGCCCGTCAAGTAAGTAATCCATCACGTATAAGTGTCCCTTTAACAAATTTTGGCAAGGAAAAAGATTTTTCGTGGGGAACATGTTGCAGCCGGCTACTCGACAAGAATCACTTTCAGCGTATTTCCCCCGTCGACGATTGGTGAAAGAAAAACGGCGATTCGGAAATCAGATTTGAGGGCCCGAGAGCGGCCCCGGGTGTCCGTCGTCGTCTCGTGTGCTTGTCAACAAGTGGCTTGGAGACAGAGGCCCTATGAGGAAGGATTATATATCCACTTCAGTTGGGCCGGAAAAAAAAAGAATTGTGCTCAAGAATTTGATTTGTGTTTTTTTTACTGAAAGACAATTGACAGTGGAGAAAATCCGGTAATCGAAACATCCGGAAAAATAATTTCTTGGAATTCATCTGTCGTCAGGAGCTTGACGAGAACTAGAGAGCGGATATCGTCTAATTTTGTGCGCTTTGATATGCACATTTTTCGGAATAATGATTTTCTGGGCAAACCTTTTTCGAAAACTTTTCGGAAAAATGTATGGCATTCCTCAGCAACTCAGCAACATCTTTTCAAGTCAAGTGCATCGAACCCCCCCCCTCCCCCACCAAATTGCACCCTTTTTTGTGGCGAGCACGGTCCTCCTGGGGGTGTAAAGGGGGTTAATCTCGGTTGGCGCCGGGGAAGGGTGGCGCGCGCGTGGGAGTGGAGGCATTCATTTCGGACGGGCATCCATTAGTCACCTCTGCCTTTGCATGGGATACCGCATCGGCCCGCGACCAAAGCCCCCCGATAAATCAATGTACCAAATTCTCGCGGCGTGTCAATGATCCTATACCGTCGCGATGCGTAATGTTTTTGGTGGCCGGGGAGTCGCCGATTCACGGAGGGGTCTAGGAGTCCGTTGTGGTTAGTGTCGGGAGGGCTAGATGGGCAGAGACTAGCATTATGATGTTTCATCCAACAGAAAATAGAATTCTCGGGTACTTTCGGGTTAGCGGGGAGTTTGACATTAGCCTCAGCGATACCTTCTAGTAATCAAATAAAATATACCAAAAAAGGCCTAGAATTCCGGGGCTCCTCGTTAGCAGGTGGACAAGAATTTTTAAAATTTAACAGATACTTGCCTAGTAATAAAACATATTTTTCAAGCTTAGGAGCCTCCTACCAGCAAAACATTATAAAAGCTTTTTCAGAACATCGAAAATTTGCGGTTTTTTACTAATTTTCGTCACTATTCGTACATTTTCAAGCAAAAAGTCAACATTATTCGAAATTTGTGGCAAGTTTATAGACGTATTTCTGTCTTAAAAAGTCGTTATGCCATATAAAGAGCTTAAATTTAGTAATTTCGGCCCTACAGGGTAACCGGAAAAATTTTTTGCCTTCTAAAAATGGGTCCCCGCCAACAAGGAAGCACCAATTCCGGTGCATCCCAGATGCATTTTATTTCCGCGCAACGACATTGACGATTTCTCGCGCGCCGCCCCGTCTTAATACCCTTTTTCGTCGGCCGGTATCTCGCGATGACCTTGCAGGCAAAGGCTTTGAGCCCCAAATAGGGGGTGGGGCAGTGGGTGTACCACAAGGGGGGATGCCTTCGGCAAGCGGGCACAAATAGCAGAAAATCGATAACTAGTGAGTGGGGAAGGCAGATCTGTGCGGACCCTTCCTACCAGCGACCCCCAAAATAGGCCCTCAGGTGGCTCGGCCGGGGCAGGCTTGTATGCCCTCCGGTGCGGGAGTGCGCCTATAGCCCCCCACAACAACAAAATATCGGGATTGTGTTACTACTAGTGCCGAGGGGAGGGGGACTGGTGCCACTAGGGTTGAAATGGGATCACCGAGTGGGAAAGGGGATTAATGAGGTTGATGGGCAAGAAGCGTCGGATATCTGGCTGTCAATAGACAAATCGGGTAGCGCACCTCGCAGCTAGCCCGTTTTGCTAATTTAAATGGACGTAATAGTGAGAGATCAGAAAATCTGGCTTGGAGACATAAGAGACAATGATTCCAATAAGCAGCATAAATACAACGAGTTTTACAATCAATTCAACCCAAAAAAAATCCGATGCTCACCTCGACGTCATTGCGATACCAGCTAAACGTTGGACGAGCAGACTTTGCAGCTATCAACTCGGGCCTCCGCAAAATAAAAGCCGAATTGCCCGTGACGCTGATCGATGAATCGGTGCTGTCGGCGAAGTCGTGGAGGTCTAAAAACACAAACTTCTTTTGGCAAATAATTTTAATAAAACCACCCCTTCCAACCTATCCCGTCTTCCAAAAAAAACTAGCTATCTTTCCTGATTTCAAGCCCCGCAAACATTTGCAATCGTCCGAAACGGTATCCCCCCATCTGCCTGGGCCCCCTCCAGAAAGAAGACCGTTTGTATCTCGGTTACGAGGCTCGGCGCCGAACGATACACAAATATTTGACGAGAGACGCCCCCCATTCGCCTTTTTCGTCCGGCTCTGGGGCGAGCCGGACGCGGGAGCGGGGAGACAGTCGCTGTGGGGTCTTGCCCCCGGGGTGCGATGAGAGTGCCCAAAGACAGCTTAATGGAGAGCGCCCGGCCATTAGTGGCCCTAAATGCCCCAGCTGGGTTGGGGTCGTCGAGTTGGGGCGCGGCGCCAAAAGAGGTTAGGTAACCAAAGTGGTGGAAGTAGGTGCCAGACGAACACATGTTCCAATTTGCTAGGAAGGTCCGAAAGTTCATTTGCCACTTACACTGCACGTCGACAAGGTATGTTCGGCTAATTGCGGCGCCAAAAGCGTTTCGCGCCACGCAATGATAGATCCCGACGTGGTCGCTCGACGCGGATACGATGTGGAACAGCTGGAAAATTAGGTTAGACTTTCAAATAGGACTTCTATGTACCTTTTTACTGGCGCCAATGTCTTGATCGTCCTTCAGCCAGAAATATTCGACGTCTTCATCCATGGTCGGGCATGACAGCTCAAAAGCCGCGCCTTCATTCACCTAAACAGAAATATGCGTCATGGTGCCAAATCTCACTTTGATGCGCCGGGGCGTTACTAGATTTTCGGCGACCGGTGGCTGGCCTCGGATCAGCTGGGCGGTGGCCATCTGGGCAATAGCCAGCGCCCATATGAGCAAATTTCGATGGGATTTCCGGCGATTCATGAGACCGGCTTTTCAAGCATAACGTGGGTTAGTCTGTAAAAAAACTTTACGAAATTGGAGCGGGAAAGAGGGAGAGAAAAAAGAGAAACAGGAATTCCATGAGCACATCACATCGTGAAAGCCGTTTTATTGCGATGGGTATCCGCAGCAATTCAAAAACGACCCCCAGCCGCCCCAAGCTCCAAGATAAGCAGCGGGAATTTCTACGAGAGAAGGTGAGGGGGCAGCGGACATGCATGTGCGATAAAATGCCACCAGATCGCAAGGTCACGGTGTTAGGTAGGGAAAGGAAAAGGGTCAGCGAGGTTGCTAAAAGAAGAATATGATATTTCTTAAACTTAATGACCATAATGAAATTTTGTGCTGTGAGAGAGAGAGAGAGAGAGAGAGAGAGAGAGCCGCTGGGCTTGAGTCATCGCCGGCGTGCTTGGTAGCAGCTTCCAAGATAAGACTCCAAACAGGCAAAGCGGTGGTTTTGTCGCGGGGATGCAGGAGGTTCACAGGATACTGCTGCGCCGGCTATCGACAGAGCGGCGCCGACGTCAACCAAACCCCGGGGCATGAAACCTGTACGGGAATTAGCTGTAGGGGCTCGGGGGGCACATCGAAAATGAGGCCGTCCACCCCCGATCTACGGGCTCGGCTCACAAGGATGACTGGCGAGGGGGGGCGGAGCCGCCTCGGCCCTTGCCCTGGTGTCGTCCCTCACCCCCGTCCAGTCCCTCGCACATTAGGGTGGGAATGGTGGTGGCGACGACGGGATAGAAAGGATTTTGTCAAGTGGTCGGGGCGTTCTTGATGGGGCGAGTTCAGAATAATTAGGCTGGGAGCAATATTGTGTGCTGAGGGGGAGCTTGAATCCTCATAACTTGACGCTCGCATAAAATCGGGCAGCCTGGAAAGTCCCACCCCCGTAAATGCCACTTTTTTTGAAAATAGACCCTCAATTCAATCTTTACGTGCTTGAGAAGCAGTAAAACAAAAAAGGCTTTTTAGGGATCACCGAGATGTGCAAGCGCTTTTCTGGAGTTCTCAGTCCCTTTAATATCGGAAAATTAAAACGTTTCGAAAGCTAGTTGCAGTGATCTACCATCTACGTTGCACCTACAATATCTACGATATACAAACAGCTGCTAACTGCGGGAAATCAACAAAACTTCAATTCGACATCTTTATGCAAGGGGACAAGTGCAGTAAGTAATCACAGTGTAATTCACAGAGAAATCCCGATTATTAAGCGCAATCTCGGACATCAAGAGACACAAAAAAGACTAAAAATACACAGTAAACTCTTCGCCGAGTAACGATTGGTGTGCAAAAACAAGTTGTTGTAGTGTGCCGTCAGCCGCGAATAGGACCTAAGACAAGGATTTTTAGAGTGTAAGGAAGGTAGGCTTAAGAGCCATTGGTGCTTCCAGGTTATCGGGGGTCGGTTGGCATCTTCTTTTTTTTTAGCCTATACCTGCCTAGTGGTAAATTGTAGTTTATTTTAATACTGTTTTTAGTAGCTTCCGATAGCAAAAATTATAAAAATATTTATCCTATAGACACAAAATCTAGGGCTTGAGCGCGGTTTTAGCCATTTTCATATACGTTAGACCGAAAAAGAAAAAATTTTTCAACATGTTTTGTGAAGTTTTTCTTAATGGGTCCTCCCCCGCTAACAGTCCAGAACCATTTCAAACGGCGCACAAATCTGTAAAAACGCCCAGCTTTTAATTAGCCGAGCCGCACGATATTAAAGAAAAAAATGTTCGCAACCGACCCCCGCTAAAATAATCGACCCCCGATAACCTGGAAGCACCGAGCCATTTTTCCATTCCTGTTCAAATAAGCAAAAAATTACCCTGGACGGCGACAATTCCAGGTAGCGCTGGGGCAGATCAGTCGGCCGCCTGATGTACAGGATGGTTGCATGTGAAAGGGAATCGTGTCGCCACCCCTAAATCAACGGTTGAGTTGACAAGGGTGTCATGCGCGGGCGTTCAGCCAACGATTTCCGATGCGCTTGACTGAAGAACAAAAAAAGTCTACCTCGACAATTTTCTTAAAGTCATCAAAGTAGTATTTCAGTGCCGGCCTTTCATAGACGTAACCAAATTCCCGGACATTAGCGAGCAGGGCGAGTAGACGGGGTGGAGATGCACTCATCTTGAAATGTCTGCAAACCATTTTTCCGGCTAGAAACCATACCTGGTGGTCTGCAGATGTACCGAGTTGAGGGTGGGTGAAAACTGGGAGATGTATCGAATGAAGGCCGCCTCGGTGAAACAGCGCAAATCCACTCCAGCGTAGCTTTTACCTAAATCGGATAGAAAAATGAAAAGACAAATACCTCGCGTAAACTCGCCGCCGCCAAATGTCAAATCAGTGGGGATCAATTGGCCGCGCTTGTAGAGTTGCTCAAGCTCTGTCCGGAACATGGAAAAGCAGAGACCAGGCCCGAAGGTTATCGGAAATGGCCCAAAATCAAAAACCCAGCCACGAAAGGAAATACCTTCGCAAAAACCTTGATCCGCGGGTTTGCAGGTAAAATTTCGGATAACGATCGACCGGAGAGAGGAGTCCGACATAAGTCCGTTCTTATTGATCGACGTTTCTAGACAAAAATAAACTAAAACGAGTCCACTTACATATTTGGCGACCACCGTCACAGAGCCCATGCATCCGCTTTGCACGAAGATCTCAAAACCCCGAGCCTAGTTCGAAGTTGAACATTATTTTAAAGGCTCACCCACTTCGTATTGGTGCACTAAAGGCAAGGTTTCACCGCTGATAGCATTACGGTTGGCTGTGAGTAGTGATCGCAGTAATTGACAGGTGCCAGTCAGCGAAACCATTGTACGTCCCATAAAATAAAAATTAAATTAAATATTTAAAGTTACCATCGAGGTAGTGAACAATTTGGAAAATACACTGTTCCGGCAAGTCAGTCAGCCGGGTTTTCGGTTGCTGCTCAGTTGTAGAGGCCGACGGGGACTTGTGCAGCGAGAGTTGCGGGGGGCTCAGCGGGGCGACCGAGGATAGGGCGTGCGAAAGTATTTCATGGTCTGCCGCAAGGTACCCTCTAAAGAAGAATTAGATTGTTAGGGGGGTGTTTTACATGCTTTGTAGCTCGAAGCTGGGGATGGCGCTGGCTTCCTCGGCGATCTGAAGTGCCGTTCTTGCCCGTTCGATTGGAAATTTTGTCCACTTCTTTAGTCGACGTTGCCCAAAACGGATCACAGTCTTCTTGCAATGGAAGACCAGATGTCTGGTCACGTGCTGCACTGAAAGGATACAGATGAGAAAATCTAAGCGGTCAATACCCACATTTGTTTCCGAACCGCCCCCCATCGTGCATTCCTAAAAATCTTTTCGGTAACCAACATTGTCTGTTTCTGGGGATATCCGTGCCGTATTTCGCGCATAGTACGTAATGGCTTGGCAAGAATAGAACGTTTATTGTTCAGCCTGGCTGCTGAATTGCCATGAGATACGCAGGACCCAGGTAACACGGGAAATCAACCGGAAAGTGAGAAACATGAAAAAGGGGGAAACAAAATTTCAAAGTCTGTTCAAATTTCTAAGCATCGGAATCCGAGGAGAGGGCTGATGAAGACGAGCCATTGGGAGATCCAGATTCGGCGTTGGATTCCTGAAAAAGAAATTTTCGGTTTCTGACATTGTATTAACATCTCAGGTTTGATGAATATGATAAAACCATTTCCTAAGTCATCTGGCAAGGGTGACATTTTGATGCCGCGTCTCCACCAGCCGGATGGGCCTGGATGTCTGTACCATTTTGGAAGCCGTTTTTCAATTTTAGCGGGCACAGGACAGTGGCAAGCACCACGGGCACAAGAAGCAACCCAAGCGCCAGTTCCTGGTCAACCACCGTGAAAAGCTAAAGCCCGGATACATTATCGAGTCGCAATTGTGCAAATATGAGGTCATCGAGTTGCTCGGCTCGGGCGGCTTTGGCGATGTCTACCGGGTCAAAGATTCCTCCAAAAAGGTAAGACTACAAAATTTGGAGAAAGGCTCTCGTGCTCCAGATTTATGCCGTCAAAACAGAATATCACAAAGACTCTGTCGACCGCAAGCTGCTCCGCCTGAAGATCGAATGTGAAATTTTAAAGTTGGCAACAGAGGTGGGATAAAAAGCCGGAGCGATGAATATCCATTTTAGGTATCAGACCCCAAATTGAAGTCGCACTTTGTCCCATTCTACGACAGTGGCCGCTTCAACGAGATGCGATTCATGGTTATGGCCCTAGTTGGCCCGTCGATCTTTGATTTGCGCAAGAAAATCCCAAGTGCTGAATTCAGGTAAGGGCCTTTTTTATTGACACGCTGCGCTTTAGCAAAGATGCCGCATGGCGTATCGCCGTCGAAACATTGGAGGGGATAGCTGATCTGCACGGCATCGGTTACATTCATCGGTAACTAAAATATCCCTAAACCATCCCCGTTTTAGCGATATTAAACCGGCCAACTTTGCGATCGGAGTGGACGAGAATCGGTCAACCATCTACCTGCTCGACTTTGGAATTTCGCGAAAATTTCTGACGCCTGAAGGAGAGCACAAGTATAAAAATATATTGGGAATAAGCTGCGTTTTTAGGCCGCCACGGGAGAAGACAAAATTCGTAGGCACTGTAGGCTTCGCGTCGAGGCGCTGCCACGAGGGAGTTGAGCAATCAAGGAAGGATGACCTGGAGGTAATAGGAAATTGGGCAATTATCTGTTAGCCGGGGGGGGGGCTTTTTGGCCTTGAGCCTATGGTTTAGCTAATTGGTAAGAAAATATACTAGACGATGATCGCTTTTTTTAGTAAATTACCCTAAAAAACTTTAAAGACGTGGTGCTACATGGTCATCGACCTCTGCGATCATCAAAATTTCCCCTGGAAACACCTCCGCGACAAGGACCAGGTGTACCCGATCAAATGCGAGTTGTTCAAGTGCAGCCCAAAGAGTAGGGCTTTACAAAAAAATCCTAGAGGATATTTTAGACAAGGCGCTGAAGAAGGTCTTCAAAAACTTCCATCAAGTGATGAAGTACATTGATGAGCTGGCCTTCTCCCAAACCCCCGACTACTACGTGATCCGAGTGTGCCACAAATCTTCTGCCTGGCAAAGAGTTTAGCAACAAATGGACGATATCGCCAAAGAATCCAAACTCGATCAGGATCCGAACTGGGTGAACCCGAAATGGATCGGAGAGGCCGGTTTGGAAAATTCTAGGGAGCCTTGCAATAAGTTTTTGTCGCTTTGCCAAAAGGGGTGACGCTTATGGTTTTGATTTTTAGCCAAAAATGAAAAACAACGACAAGAAGCCGGCAGCAAGCGATGAGGACGTTGAGGAGTCTGACGGGGAAAGCGAATCAGACAAGTAACAGTTTTCCTAGTTCTTCCCAAGCATCTTTCAGGAAAAAGCACCACAAGAAGCGGACCGGAAGCGACAGTGGGAAGAAGCACAAGGAAGGCGGAGGAGGAGCTCGGAATGCAAGTGGCCGGAGCGGCAAGAAGAGTCAACGGAGCAAGAAGGGCAAAAGCCCAAAGAAGAAGGGCAGTACTACCAACACAAAGGTTGGCCCGTTGTCCACTGTAAAAACACGGATATTCCAGTGAGCCACTCGTCCGGATCAACCGACCATCACAGGCCGCGCCATTAACAAAACGCTTAGAGCTTAATCACAAATTTCCCTTAAATAGAAAATTGAACCGACTACGAAATGCTCACAAAATACAACGTCGATAAAGCTCGTCAATTACCTTGGCCTTTTCCTGCTTCTTCTTTTTCTTCTTCTTCTCGCCATCCTCTGGAGCGTCAGAATCAGAGGACGTCTCCAAAAATTCACGCGATTTGGCTTGCTTGTTCGGCGACTTGGTGGGTAGTCTAAGAAAAGGGGTAATTCATCGAAACCTGACTCACTTCGAACTGGGCTTGCTCGATTTAGTAGGAGTTGAAGACCTGACAGTGCTGCCACCACTTTTCTTCCATTCTGCCATTTCCGCTTCATAACGTGTCTAAAGAAGTGTTCCAAATGATGAGAGAAAATTACCTTATCCTTAGCAGACTTTTCCTCCCACTGCTTCTTATCGTCTTCGGTCATAGCCTTCCAAAGCTCGCCACCACGTTTCGCTGTATCGGCAACAGTATCACCGTCCTGAACGAATGTTTTTGCGGATAAAAAAACGCTTACCTTCTTAATAGTCGACCTATTTTCGTTGAGCCAGATCATGTAGGCACTCTGATATCGCTTAGGAGCATTAGGGTCCTTCTTCGCGCGTTTCTTACGTCCCTTGGATTCGTCACCGTCTTTTTCGCGCTTCTCCTTCCTCTTCTCTGCCTTCAGCTTCTTCTACAAGGGGACGTGACGAAGAGCCAGAAAAAATACCTTCTCCTTTCGCTCCTTCTTCGCGTCCTCGTCCTCGTCAATATCGCTCTCCTTGACGACATCAGAGCCGGATGAGTCAAACTCCTCGGTCGGCTCACTTTCGTCGCCTTCGGACGAATTCTCCTCGCGCTCCTTGCGGCGTCTTGCCAAATCAATGTCAAGATCGTAGTCATCTAGAGACAATTGTGATATTCTCCTGACACCTACCGTCTTCGGGGTCGGATTCCTCATCCCCTCCTGTAGCACCAGCTCTTTCGGCCTGACGATCTTTGCCCTCCTTCTTGACATGTTCCTTGTAGGGGTCGTGGTCTTCATCGCTGTCATCAAACATATCCGTGTTGCGAGCTTCCTAAATAAAAATAATGTCAAAAGAGATTGCAATGCTCACCGCTTTCTTGGCGTTACGGATGCGAAGGCCTTTGCTTTGCACATAGTCATAAAGTTTGCTGTATTCTTCCCTAAAATCCAAAAATAGCCGCAACTGCTTTTTTAATTACTTTTCGACACTGTTGAATACATTGGTGGAGCCGCCCTTCATCTCCACTTCAAAGTCGAAGGAACGCGTCGAGATGTCAGAGCGAGCAAAATGCACCGATGCGCACTGGAACAAAAATAAAACCCTATTTGAAAACCCAACCTCTTCAAAACGGATGTACATGGGCGGCTTGTGGATGTAGAGGAAGCCCTTTTCAAGCGGATATAGGAACCCGGACGCCTGCTTGTGGGCGCATACAATCGCAGGTGTACCACTGTGCCTAAAGCGAAGGGAGTAATGCACAAAAGAAAAAAAATACCCAACAAATTTCCCTGGAGTTGTCACCTTCATGCCGACGAGCACGCGGAAGAGCTTGCAGACAATTTCGTAGACGGGGCCCTCCAAGTTTCGCTGCAGCTTCTCGCCGAACTGTTCCTTCACCTGTTCCCTAAACGATTGTTTCTCAAAAGACAGAAGTATATTAGGTTACTCTGTCAATCCCAACTCGATCTCAGTCTCATCATCACGGACGAACTCGAAGACAAGGTAATGATAGCGCGTCTGTCCCTGACGGATCGGAGGCGATAGAGCACACTAAACCAGGGGAATTCGAAGAGGGGCTTCGTTCCTTACCACAAAATACATGTGCCGGCCATCTTTGTGTGGGACCAAGAAGAGTCTTTGAATCGTCTTGATGGGGATTTTATAATCGTAGGTCTTGCCGTGGAGAGACAAATGGTTCGGGTAGACCTTGATGTCGTAGCGACCACTAAAAAGAGATTGCATGCCCGGACGTTGTCGGCTAGATACCGTGGAGTAGTTGCGAGGATTTGGCTGAGTGTGACAATGGCTTGTCCGGAGTCGGTCTCAATGCCGGCATACTTGAGCACAGCTTGTCGGAATTCCTAAAACAAAAGTTGCTATTTAGATCTCGACCATACGTCAACGGCATCATACATATCCTCTTCGTTCGACGGCATATGGAAGCGCATCTCAGTAAGGGCGATCGCACAATCTTCATTTTGGTGAAATTCAAGAACAGCTTCATTTTTATTCGCAATCGTATTTGAGACGTTCGAAAGTGGGACCTAAATAAAGGCCAACAATCGTCACAATCAGCAATATCTACCTCAAAACAGAGTTTCCCGTCCACCGAAAATTCAACGGATTGGCCGGCAACGGTACACTCTCCATAATTCCAGCCCTTCAAAGCCAGTTCGGTTTTCTCGACATCTTTCTGCCAATTTTCTTGGGCAAACGCCTTGAACTGGTCGAAATCCTAGACAAGGCGTAAAAAGCGAAAAACTAAGCTTACCGTTTCTTTGAAGCCACCGATCCTGTACCTCTTCCCATCGTCGAAGACAAATTTGGCGCCAGGCTTGTTAGCGAGGCGTTGCCAGGTCACCTTCTTGAGCTCGTTGACATGCATCGTTACAATGTTTCCCGTATGGTCATTGTGAAATTTGATGTGTTGATCTGTCAACCGCAAAGATCCACGGTTCTAAATGAATTTATCCATAAAACGAATCCAGGAACCCACGATAGTGCCCATGTCTTCGATGAAAACATCGCGAAAGTCGACCGACGTCGCCATTCCGCAAAGCTCGACGTCTCCTTCAAAGTTGTGACTTCAATAGCAGTTTCGAAAGGCGTACGAAATGAAATCAGCGAGAAACTAGCGGATTTGTGCCGATTTTTGAAACAGTGCGCGAAAACAGGGCTGTTGCCGAAACACAGCGAGAAAGCGCGCGAGGGCAGACGATTCAAAAATTCTTGGCTTCGCTTCGGAAAATGGCTTCAACTACCATTGAAGTGCTTGCGAAAACTTGATGTGTGCATATAAACACAAAAAAAAGGAACAAGCTTGGATGAAGTTATACATTTATACATGAGCGATATATACAAATTATCAAATTAGCGTACTAGACAAGAAATCATGGGCTTGCAGGGCAACGCTGGGCAAAAAATAGCCAACAAAAGAAAGGGTTCGGGTAGCGGAGGTGGAGGCTGAATCGGCAATCTCGTTGAGTGCAGCAGTTGAGCGATCCTGAAAAAAACTCCAATTGTAAGCAATCTAAGAAAGAAAATTATGTCGACTAGGGCTCGTGGGCGTGCTTTTTTCCAAATACTCAAAAATGTTAGGGAGATATCGTGCAAAACGAGCAAAACCATAAATAAATTTACCAAGTTGGTGACGGGTTCTGAACTATTTAGAAGTTCTGGTGAGGGGCGGTCGATCGATTCCCCATTTAGAGCTGGCGATGGGGAAAGGCATTTGACGCTAGATTCTTCCTAAAATAGGTTAAGGATGCTAAAAAAATAAAAACGTACCTCCTCAAAAGTCTCGACAGTTACAGTGCTCTTTTTGGATGGTAAGAATCGTCGCACTAATACTTCATAACACCTTCGTAAAATAGAGAAGAACCAGCCCATCGGCAGTTGTCGGGGTAATATGAATGGGGTGTACAGGCGCGCAAGTCCCAGATGACCCCAACCAGCCAAGCAATCGATCCACCCCTACAAATATACCATAGTCGGCACACTAAAGCATGTGCAACCAAAAGATAAAATATGACTTCGTATGCAACCAATTATTGTCCGTCTGAATTGCCTTGGCCTGTTCATAAAATATGTTTATTCCGACAAATCCGAAAATGACAATCGTGAGCGTTTATCCGACGAGATTCCACAACTTTCCGAAGAAACTGCGATCCTTGCTTTGATCCAAGTCCATCTAAACGAACGCATTTCCGCGAAGCTGTTTAAAACCTACACTGTAATTCGCATTGTTAGTAGACATATTCATCGCGAGAGGACGCATGCCGTTTCTGCCCAGAGTTGAATACCGCGAATTGCTAAATAGGCAATTAATTTGCAAACGATTTTCGCCTACTTTAATGAAGTATCGAGGAAGCTATCATTGGCCGAGTTGACGTTGGAGAAGGCGCGAGTGTAAGACCTAAAGCAAATTGAAAATTTGCGCAAAGTAAAAATACACGTCAGCTTTAGAAGACTCAGGACCGCGGATCTTCGTGATATTACCGGAGGATCTGTTTACATAGGAACGATCGGCCGTTGAAGATAATACATCCTAAAGCAAATGAACGAAAAATATCGCGGTCTTACCCGGTCGGTGCACTGAACCACGCCGACTTTCACATGTCCCTCCATGACAATCCCATTCCTCGAAATTGCTTGCGCTGCATGGACTGGACTCGAGTAGCACAGATGCATCCAGTTACCCTGAGCCGGAATCTAAAAACATAATGGAAGGCCGAATAAATGGCTTACCCGATGATCGACAATATCACCATGGCGCCCAAAGTAGGTAATTATCTTGTTGTTATCACCGGGAAGAAATCCAAAGACGGTCACCCAACATTCCCTGGCTAAAAATATATCTATATAAAAACATCGACCCAAGAATACCTTCAGCTTCAGAACGATCGAGATCAAAGGCAGAGTCCTCGGGGATAGTTTGTTGGCTAAGCTGCGAGCCGGCGTTGTCTGGGCGCAAAGGAGTGCCAGGGTTGAAATTCACGGGCATTGTCATGCGACGAACCTAGACACTTTTTCCGCCAGCCGTGCACAAGGTATACCTTAGTTATCGGTTCAACATTGTCGCGGAGGGAACGGAGAGGCGGACCTTTCGGCCCAGAAGAAGAGCTTCCCATACTCGAAGTCGGCTTGGTAGCACTCTGCTCCTCGGTGATGTGCTTCTCTTGGACGAGGGTTGGGGACCAATGCACATT